ATTCTCAATGATTAGGTCACTTTACTAATTGACAATAAATTGCAACCTAATTCAGGAGCATAGAGCATATTATTTGAATTTATGTTTTTGGATGAACATATAGTGTCTATTCCAACCACCTTTCATATAGACCCTCCTGCAATTCTGATATGGATTTGTTTATGGCATGGGCTATATATTTTGAACAATTTGAAATTATCAGTTGTGACTTATAGCTCTAGAGTCAATGATCCATGCATTGGTTAAATTTGGAGATTAGATAAGGTATTAGTTAATTTACTTGATTGGGAAGCAGATATAGTGCCCATTACTGGATTATTTATATGATGGTTACTCAATAAATTTCTCGAGTACTCCATCTGCTCTCTGCTAAAATCCAATTTCACGTTCTGTTACTTACCTGGTACTTTGACTTCTATGGCTATGTTTCCTTTCAACTCTCTTTCCAAATTTTGTTTTGTTTCTTTTCCTCCTTGATTCCAATTTTGTTTCCAATCCAGTGGCTTCCCATAAAACTTCCAAAAAATCTCTTCTGAGTGGTCAGACTTTCTAAAGTAATCGCACCACAACTTTCTGTTTTTCTGTTTCATCTCTTGTTGAAGTAGAAGAGTGTTTTGAGCAAAAAGTACTGAACTTTCAAGAATTTGCAAATCTGTTGGATTCCCGAGCATGATTGTCTTTAGGCTCTCTTCTATACACACTTCTGCAAACACTTCATGGAGACCGAGACTTGGTTTCGCTCCCAAGATTCTTCCTGGGACTCATCTAGTTCCTTGTTAAGGCTGAGAAGAAATTTGCACAATCTCTTCTTCTCAATGATTCTCCAATATTGAAGACTGTCTTCTGGGCAATGCTACCATTGCTCTTCATACAGATCAAGTTGTCGTTAGTTCCGTGTCAAGGTGTTGAAGTGCTGGGTCATCATCAAGTCACCATGTTGCAGGTCATAAAATATGCTTTCTGTGGCGAAAAGTTTTGAGGAAACTATCTGTCTTGGAGTAGGTTTCACAAACTACGACAGATTTCCTTTACGATCTTGAATAAGAGAAAATTCTCTCCTATGTCATTTGCTATTGAATTGACAAGTCAAGATATTATCATACAGTTTTTGGCTTTCCAAGTTCAATACTTTGGGTCATTTATGGCTGGTGGATCAATGGGTCCTGTAAGGTGGTCATCTTTCCTTTTTCTGCACATGAACATCATGACAGATTGTGACCAAGGTAGGTAGTTTTGTTCATTTAACTTGTATATGATGATGGATATTATCGGATTATCCCTCTTGTTGTTCCTTATCGGAATAGTTTTTATTGAATGCACGACTTTTGACTTTGAGGCTTGAATACTTTGGCATTCTGGATAATCTAGGTTAGATGGAACAGAGATCCATGCGCTGGTACTATGAAGAAAGCTGTAAATTTTATTCTATGGTTATCTTCTATACTATTACATTATTTATACAGTAGTGCGGTATGATTTGATGCTTTTAAAACTTAATGGTGGATGTCCATTAATTTAGTTGGTAAAGATACTTTCACGCACAAAAAAATGGGCAATTGTGTCCCCTTTACTCCAAGAATTGGGACGATTAAGGAATTGAAAATCATACCTAATTGGAAGTCATTGTTTAACCATTGTTCTTTTGGCCATTTATGGACAGAAGATCCATAATTTTGAGAGAAACAAATGTAGGAGATCAATTGCTACTACCTCAACTGCACTTGAATTGTCACTGAAAATACAAAACGAAATTTCAAGCATCAATTGCCCGTGGTTTTTTAGAAATAAGCATCATATATCTAACTTCTTAGGTTTTTATTTTTTGTTCTCTAATCAATTTGGAGTTTTCTTTTATATATATATATATATAATGTAAGTACTAAAAATATTTGTACAATTTTTATAAATTCTTTTACTAGACATGATTTTTTGTTTTTTACAATTAGTACTTCATCCAAATATGTAACTCCTTATTTTCCAAATAAGAATTTACTTATTTTAAGTAATTTAAGCAATTTCATTCACTTTGTAGATTAGCTACTTAGCCCTTTTATTTTCTTTCTTATTATTGTTTCTTTTCACGAGAATGTAACTTATTCCATTTTTTCTATTCTCTTCCCTTTCAATAATTTCATCTTCTTCATCGGTAATATATGTTTATATATATAGGAGCCCCACTTGGATATGATTATTTTTTTGAAATAAAAAGTGTAAAAAATAACCACTTGGATATGATTATACCTACTTGTCCTGTACTTTTGTAAGTTTTAGTAAATTCAGCCAACATTTTGCCTCAATAAACATTTGTAGATTGCAACTGATGTGCATTTGCATGTTGCCCGTGACATTATTATGTATTCAAGTGTTTTCTGGACTCTTCAAGAAAAAAATGTTTTCTTGCCTCTCGCTGGGGCATCTGATCAAATTGAAAAGAATGTTTTCCTACTTTTTTCTCTTTTGCACCATTGCACAGAAAACTTATTTATATTCCTTTCATGCAGTGGCTTAGCTGTCTCTATGGTAATGAAGTATGCTGACAATATTGTGAAGGTGAGACATGGATTTTTCTTTTTGTCAACTGGATGTTTGTTAGTTTGCTTTTCCATTGCATGCCTCATATAATGTAGTTTAGCATCAGGATACCTGGGGAACCATGCTTGAAAATTGCTGGTCTCTTTTATATATTTCTGATGTTGAGGGTGTAAGAAGCCATGAGCATTTGTTTGATCCATATTTATGGTAGATCTCTATCTAAGGTTGTTTTGTTAGAATGATAGGATATTTTACGTAATATTGTGCAGGTTTATTCAACATCAGTGGCAATGCTTCTCACGGCAGTTGTTTCTGTGTTTCTATTTGGGTTTCATCTTTCGCTTGCCTTCTTCCTAGGTGCAACGTAAGTTTTTACTTTTTAGCCAATTTTAATTTCTGCAACAAATGTTCTCTATGCTTTCAGATTTTGTCATATGCAAAAGTTCTATTAGAGGGTATTTACATGTTGAGAAAAAACATAGAAATCAGTTCTTTTGATGAGGTCACTGCCTTTGTTTGGTTTCGATTGTTATGTTAGCAACAATGTTGAGGGAACAACATTCAAGTAATATGTTTCCTTACTGGATACTTTCTTGTTTTCCTTGTATTTACAGGGTCGTCTCTATTTCAGTATATTTACACTCTGTCGGGAAGCTGAGATAACACTTTTTTTTTTTTTGGCTGAATCAAATTGGTTGTTATTCTAAAGATAATTTGGTGACAGAGATGATGAATCTTCTTGGTAAATGATATTCTAATTTTGCTCAAATTGCTAAGCGATAACCATAGTATCCATAATTATATTTCCAATTGTCTTGTAATTGTGGTACAGCTAATGCAAGATCCCTCAGCTGGTTATTTACAGTTGAAGCTTCATTGCTTGTGTAGTAGTGGCCATTGGCAAAGTTGGTGCAAGGGGTCTCGTGTAAAATCATTCCGTCAATTTCTATGGTATTTATATCATTTTTATTCAAGAAAAAAATTTGTTGTTATCATCATGTTGACTTTTAATTCAGAATTTAATCTTATAGAACAGAATAGGAATAAGAATAACACGAGTTGCCATACACGCACCCACATATATATATATTAAAAAGTATAGCATGGGAACGTAAATAATTTAAGAAGAAAGACCTTCTTGGCCTGGAGTCTAATATCTTCACCACTTATCAGTCATCACCAGCCAGTCAACCAGTCTTTTATGTTTTTGTCAAAAAAAAAAAAAAAAAAAAAGTAAGAAGAAAATGGTCTTTTACTTATAGGGACACGTGCCATTTTTGTGTTTAATTACATAGCGGGGATAAAATTACAAATACTAATTTAGATTTTTAATAATCAATTATATAATGTTTTTTTGTGCTCTTTTAGTTTTAGTTTGCTTTATCATGGTTTCTTTCTACATTTTATAATTAAATGTTTCATTACTGTTTTGAAGTATTTTAATCTGGCCGAACATTTCTACACTTGGGAGTATTTTAATTTTTGTTTCAACAATTTTTCTACAATTTCAATACCTTTTTAAAAAATTATTTTTAGTAATTCTAAAAACTTATATTTAAATACCAATGAGAAATGTTTTTAAAAAATCACAAGTAATTCAAAGAATCTTTCAAAAATTAAATCATTTTAAGAAATTTGTAAATACATGGTCTTGATTTTTGAGCCATTAAAACAAAGATTTTGAAATGCACGATCATAACATTCTTCTTAAATTTATTTTTGAACAAACTTATGAAAAATTACAATTTAAATGGAAGAATAAATGTTTAGATATTTTATTTAGCTCATTCAAAAAATATTCTTCAACATTCCAAATTTCTAATTATACTTCTTGTAATCTTTAATTTCATTGTAAATGACGAAGGCTTGATTTTTTCCATGAAGAATCCTTTTTGGGATATTTATATATCATGTCAATGGCTTTAAACTTATATATAAATTAAACCTTATACAAACTTATCAACAAGGTTTTTTCTTTATCAAAAATTACTAATATAAGCGTTAATTAAATCACCAAAATCGATTTCCTAAGTTCAACACGTTGGACAAACTTTGAAGGGAACTTAAGCAAATGCCAGAGTAGATTTAACAGATGTCCAACATTTAAGGTGTATACACTTGCTTGCTTGTACCAAAGTTTGGAACGTCAGTTACACACTTGAGCAAATGTCCGGCCATTAAAACTCAATTTAACGAAGTTTCGTGTATAAAACTGTGTTTGTGTATATACATATATACCTGTGTGTGTGTGTGTGTGTGTGTGTGTGAAAAATTGGCTAGAAAAGTCGGTAAAAATAAATCGTTGCTTCCCGGGAAGGTTTTCCCAATTCATGTGAAATTATAAGCAAGCTAGCAATTAATACTATAGATTAGTGGAATCAAATGAGAATGCTTGGAACAAAAGCATGCCAGAAAATAACCATACTTAAAGCCTCGGTATTTGAAGAGTAATTCAACTTCTTCACTTGAAAGCAACAAATTAAAATCTGTCTATATAAACACCTCAACCTCTTTCTTCCATTACATCAGAATTTACGGGAACCTACAGACGGCAAGAAAGATGGACGAAATCCCTCTTTATTATGCCTTCTCTCTCTCTCTCTTCCTTTGCTGTGCTATGGCTCATGATTTTTCAATTTTGGGTTATTCCCCTGACCACTTGACTTCCATGGATAAGATGGTTGAGCTTTTCGAATCGTGGATATCAAAACATGACAAAACTTACAAGGGCATTGAAGAGAAACTTCATCGATTAGAGGTATTCAGAGATAACCTGAAGCACATTGATAAAAAAAATAAGGAAATCAGCAGCTATTGGCTTGGGTTGAACGAACTTGCTGACTTGACCCACCAAGAGTTCAAGAAACAATATCTGGGTTTGAAACCTGAGCTTCCCAGAAAGATGCAAACTGACTACGGAGACTTCACCTACAGAGATGTGAATCATTTTCCTAAGTCTGTTGACTGGAGAAAAAAAGGGGCGGTCACTCTGGTTAAGAACCAAGGTGCATGTGGTATGTTGTGCATCATTTTCATATTCTTATTTAGCCTCTCTCTCTCTCTCTCTACATAAGCAAGATGATCATGAACAAATATACAGGTAGCTGTTGGGCCTTCTCTACTGTTGCAGCTATTGAAGGCATAAATCATATAGTCACAGGAAATCTAACTTCCTTGTCAGAGCAAGAGTTAGTTGATTGTGACCGGGAATTCAACAATGGCTGCAATGGAGGTTTAATGGACTATGCCTTTGAGTACATCATCTCTAATGGTGGCCTTCACAGAGAGATAGACTACCCATATCTAATGGATGAAGGCACTTGTCAAGAGCAAAAAGTGACTAAATAATAGCATTGGCATCCATTTATTGTTGAGAAGTAATTACAGTTTTTTGACAAATCCAACTTGTTTTTCTGTTTTGTATTTCAGGAAGACTTGCAGGTGGTGACCATAACAGGTTATCATGATGTGCCAGCAAACGATGAAGCAAGTCTTCTCAAGGCACTGGCACACCAGCCTCTTAGCGTGGCTATTGAGGCTTCTGGCAGAGACTTCCAATTTTATAGTGGGGTAAGCTTTCTTATTTATTCAAGTTCCACGATAGTGACTTGAACACTAATATGTTGTCCTAATTTTATCTACATTGTTAAATCTCATCGTCAAACAGAATCTAACAGTAAAAACACTACAAAGAAACTTCAACTATAACAAGTTGCCTAGAGTTCTCTTATATTCTAAACCTAGATCCAGAATCTCCGAGAAATGCGGCTTGTGCAAGGTTTTCTTGGGTTTTGCTTGCATTTGCAGGGGATATTTGACGGACCCTGTGGAACTAATCTAGATCATGGAGTGGCAGCAGTCGGATATGGATCGTCAAAGAATTCAGACTATATAATAGTGAAGAACTCATGGGGGCAGATGTGGGGAGAGAGAGGATTCATTAGGATGAAGAGAAATACTGGGAAACCCGAAGGACTATGTGGCATCAACAAAATGGCCTCATATCCTACTAAAACTAAGTGATGTACTTATCCAGTCTTCAGTTGTCACTCACAAACATTTTTTTTCCTATTTTAGTTTCATTTTCATCCCTTAATTAAGACAGCTTAAAATTTTCATGATCTTAATGCAATTAATGCTCATTCAGTTCAATGGTTCAGCCTCCTCAATAAGAGTAATAACAATTACTCATGCTGGATGGACTATAACTTTATAAATTATGCCAAGTTTAAGTGTTTTGTATTATTTTTGCTTCCATATTTGGTTTAAAAGTATAAGTTACTGTAATATAATACTCTACAAGTCACTATAATTAGATAAAACGGGCAGACTGCTAAGGAAAAAGCAAACATCTCAGATAGATACTATGAAAAAACTCCGCAAGAGGTGGTCATAGTTTCATAAAAGTTTCGAATAAAACGAGCATAAAGCTCACATATCTGAATGATGATCTCTCCTGACATTTACGAGCTTACACAACTCGCCTTAGTCATCTAATCTTCATTTCTATCCAAGTTACATATTAACAATGGTGCATGTAATCCCCCATATTAATTCAAAATAATTTGTTTTTTTCTGATTATTTATTAAAGGTAAAACTATCCTCTTTAAATTCATAATATAAGTTTGACATGCTAAAGCCTAACTGTCTCAAATGATCAACTCTATAAACCATCGCAGACCTGAGGAAAGAATTGATGACTCCTTAACTTAAAACTTCATTGTATTTGAAGACACAATCATAAAGTCGCCCTCCAAGGAACTGCGCAACCTCTGGATGTTTCACCTGTAAAATGATAGACAAGGAAGACATGGAAACCTGTGGATCAGAATCCGTTCCAAAATCAAGCATGGCTGAAATTTTTGGAGAATGAAACAAATAGCAAAACCATTACCATCCCAATCTTGACCGAGTCACACTTGAATTGAGCATAAAGATTTGTCTCTATTCCACGGCCCTGAAAAATCAAACCAAGGTTGCATCATATCATGGTTCAAACTCAAAACCAAAATTTGTCAACAGTGACATTTTTTTATTAGGAAGGTGTATGCATCAGAAGGTGTGGCAAATACTTGAATGCCAATAAGTGAGGATGAATCCTTTTCACAAATCAAGGAGGAAATTCTTGCAGCAAAGTTTTGTTAGCTGTCATGGCAACACATAAAATGTGCAGCAGATTTTCCAGTCTTTCCCAATTTGTTTTATCAGGAAAATCCCTGTCTCAGCAAATGAACTCGCCAATATTTATTGTTAACCCATGCAAAGTGCAAACAAGCAGACCATGCATAAAGTGAAAAACTGAGTCAAGGGCCTCAATGCATGTGCAATGCACTCAACAACGACATGAGGATCATGAAAACATCCTGAGATATCAATTCTTTTATATTTGAGAAAGGAGTATTTAAGCCCTTTTGCTGATTTTGGCCTGCAGCCCCATCCTATAGAAAGAATAAGGAGAGGCCTATGAATGAGCGAGCCAGTCAAGAACTTATGATGACTTACCTCACCCTCTTGTCACTTAAGGGGC